ATTTCTAGAAAACGTCAAATTGACGCACAGTTATGATAAGTCCATTCCCTTCAAACGTATTGTGCCCGAACTACGAAGTGATTTCGAACCTCGTGGAGATTCCGAATGGATGGATAACGATAACGAGGATAACGAAATAGAAGCTATTTCTTTAAGTTGCTGGAACTGTCACCAGGTGGGACATAGATACCAGATCTGCGTATCAGACCAGAGGGTATTCTGTTATGGCTGCGGGGAGTCATAACACGTACAAAGCCAGCTGCGACAAGTGTTCAAAAAACTCCAAGAGCAGCACACCGAAGTCGTGGTTCAAACACAAGGCGGCGAGTGTGCTTCGTCATCAGGGGACAAACACGGATTAACCGAGTCTGTACCATCTGGTGCCCTACAATTATAACGGATTTGAAATCAAGCGAGCACAGTCCGCTGTCGCATCGCGAAAAAGACACGGACTTAGGATTGAGCGAGCACAGTACGCCGTCATCGAGAAGGAGCAAGCGTATCCGCTGTTACTTGTAAAAAGTAAGGAGGCGTAGACGAACATTATAGTGCGTTGTCAAGGATGCCTAGAGACCCTCGCCCGTTAATATCAGTACAGCTGTTCGATAGAACTGCTTACGGGTTACTAGACTCCGGAGCAACAATAAGTTGTATTGGAGGGAAGTTAGCAAAACAATTGATAGAAGATAACGTGTCCTTCAAGCGGATTCAGGGCAAAGCCCAAACAGCTGATGGAAAACCTGAGTATAGTGGGTAGCCTGCGCACCAAAGTAGAGTATGAGGAAGAACGAAAGAGAACGGAGACCTTTCTAATTCCGACCCTCAAACACGACTCTATAATCTATTGCCGCCAAACTTGCTTGTGGGTAGTGCATATTACACCTTGGAAGACTTACAGGGACGGTTTTTGGGGAATGATCACACTGAAGAGATAAGTCAGTAAAGTCGATTCATGCGGGATCAGCCAAGGGCACGCCCTGTTCCACCCTAGTCTGATTTGGAAGGGGGGCTTTGTAATGGCGCCTGAAGCGACCAGAAATGTAAATTTTGCCTTATTCGATGGTACTTTCTGTTGTGACCAGTTGGGAGCTGTTACGTTTTGTTACTAAAACAAGTGATCAGAAGGGATTTGACAGATCATAACATATGAGGCGTGAGGTAGGGTTCCGCCCAGGGTCGCTAAGAGAGTTCAGGGAATAGAAATACAACGAGGGGGAACGTTCTGAGTTGCTGCGGACACCGCAACTCTACATTTATACCCTATACTTAGTCAGTATAGCTTTCCTCTGGCAAACGCCGATAATATTAAACGATACGACAAAGAGTGCGTTCGAGAGAGACAGATAATCAGTCTGAGCGTGACGTCGGGCGCTGCGTGGCCACTGCAAATTGATTTGTTCCTTTTGGCTATAAAAATGATCTGATCTGATTCGGCAAGCGGATAGATATCTATGACCATATGTCATTCTCTATGATTGTGCGTTTTTAGTTTTCCCGAATCTGCAATATTGTGGATGCAACAGATTTTCGTTCTTTGTGGGGGCGGAATGGGGTGAGGCGAAATTTTGAGATATACGTTCTATGGTGAGATCTAAAACAAGTGTGGATACCAAATTTGGTTACTCTAGCCCTAATAGTGTCTGAGATTTGTGGATGCCCCAGATTTTCGTCCTTTGCGGGGGCGGAAGGGGGTGTGGCGAAATTGTGACTCAAAACGGTCAAGGACCGATATCACAGGAGTGTGGATACCAAATTTGGTTGCTCTGGCTCTTATAGGTTCTGAGATCCTTGAACTCATATTTTGCAATTGGCAAAACCGACCAAGAAACCTGTGTGTTAGAGAGAGTCAGAGCGGGCAAGAATGAAATTGTTTTCTTGATTCTGGCTATAATAATTATACGATCTGGTTCAGATTTTGCACTCTAGAAGATATAGTCATTCTCTACGATTCTGCGTTTTCAGTTTTCTCGTATCTTTGAATTTGTGGATGCCACAAATTTTCACCCTATGTGCGGGCGAAAGTGGGCGGGGCATAGTTTTGAAATATACTTGTAGCGGTGACATATCACAGAAGTCCGGATATAAAACGCCGTTGCTCTAGCTCTTATAGTCTTTAAGCACTAGGCGCCGATAGGGACGGACAGACGCAAGGACGGACGGACTCGGCTCGACTCGGCTATTGATGCTGATCAAGAATATATATACTTTATGGGGTCGGAAACGATGCCTTCTGGACGTTACACACATCCACTTTTACCACAAATCTAATATACCCCAATACTCATTTTGAGTATCGGGTATAAAAAGGTGAAGTCCTCGCGACAAAAGAGTTTGACAGGCCAAGCACTTCCTCGTCCGCCACGTTCAGGCCGCCGAATGAGCCGCTCTTTGATCAGCTCTCGGAAACAAATCGAAAAACATCCGCGTGTGCTCGAGGAATAAATAACAAGAAAACAATCAGTGCCTGTTGAGATATTCTATTGTAGCTCAGGGAGAACACAGGTTTGGTGAGTGAGAGGAGAGATCCGTAGAAGATTGGTTTTAACGACAGTATGTTCTTAGCCCCATCGTACTCCGCGAGATTGACCCAAAGTGGTGGAATAATCAACTGGAGGCTTCCACTGGAAGTTCCAGCACGCAAGAGTATAGGCCTCTGGATAGAGGCCAGTGGATTCTCTAGAAAAGCACCGCCGCTGCGTCAAAGTAAGCCGATGTACGCAGCTGGCTGGGACTGGCAGACAGATGAGGCGTTAGCCTCCAACGCGATATTAAACTAAACACTCCAGGACCTGCAAATGTATGCGGCCCAAGTGATGCAGCAGAGGACCCTTCGTCGTTCGTCCTATACGTTTTACGCTGTAGCGAGCATATGTGAGCCAGCAGATGACCATTCATCGCTCTTCCTGCACGATTTAAGCTGTGCACACCCGTTTCTTCGATCGTCAGTAGTGAATGGCTTCCAAGCGAGCCTATGTGATGCAGCAAAGGACCATTCGTCGTTTTCACTGTACGATTTAGGCTGTGCACCCATTTAGCTTCGGTCTTCGTTAGCGTATGGCTGCCGACGTAGCGTATGTGATGCAGCAGAGCACCATTAACTGAACTCACGATGGTGCCCGCTTAGCCGAATGAAAATGTGGCCACTGGGAGACCCTGAAAAGATCCCAAGGAAGTGGTCATTGGTAGGGAGGGCTCAAGAGGGACACAAGGACATCTGTGATCCCAACTATTAGGGATTCTTGTATCTACCGATTCAGTATTTTAGCGTTTTCTTGTCGACCGCACGTTTAAATCTTAGTATTTAATTTCTTATACCTGACGTTGCAGCAGCGGTTATCGAACGGTTCGCGCAAGACCACCACCCCTCAATACCGACGAGCTAGAGCTGAAATAACAGCTTGCCGCCATAGCCGTTCTTCGACCATCCCTAGTTTATATATCGTTGCACGTTACAAGATCTAGGTGCTCACTTTTAGCAATAGGCAAAGCCGGCCATGAAACTGTGTGTTAGAGAGAGATAGAGCGAGATAGAATGAAATTGTTTTCTTCATTCTGGCTATAATAATGATACGCTCCGGCTCAGATTATGACGCCTGGACGATAGGCGTTTTACCCTTGCAACAGTGACATATCACAGAAATCTGGATACAAAATATCGTTGCTCTAGCTCTTATAGTCTCAGAGCACTAGTCGCTCATAGGGACGAACAGACAGACAAGGCTCATTCAACTCGGCTAATGATTCTGATCAAGAATATATGTACTTTATTGGGTCGGAACGCTTCCTTCTGGACGTTACACACATCCACTTTTACCACAAATCCACCACAAATATGCCCCAATACTCATTTTGAGTATCGGGTATCATAAGATTGTGACGACCATCGAGCCGATTTACCTTTACTGTAAAGAGGGAGTTTTTTATCAGCAATGCACTTTCTCTGATTGTGATTTCTTATTTGAGAATTGGCTTAGAAAAAGCCAACTTGGCTGTGAAAGAAATATTTGTTCTTCTATCTTAGTGCTACAAGATTTACTTATATATAAGGCACTACTAACAAAAATTTGTTGAATCTTATACATGCACTAGCTGACCCGGCAAACGTTGTTTTTCTACTAGGAAACATTTTTTTAGTTCGGTAATAATAATTATCTACTATAAGTAGATTTACTATTCAATTATAAGATTACTTAACAATACATATTAATCTCTCAGCGCAATAGAGTGTACCATATTCTTGGTTAGTCCGTCTTTAGACAACACAAATAAACTGGATGGCTATTTATATTAATTGCTATTGGCTCAGATTGGCGCGATAAGCAAAAAAAAAAATTCACGAATTTCACGGTAGAGCCATTTCGGAGGAGTTTAGCAACAAAGACATCAAAAAAAAAAGAATATACATAGGTACCCGAAGAGTGGCCTGAACGGGATAAAAACTGGATGTTGCCCGATGCGCACACCTAACCGATAAGCACATAAAATTTTACGAAAATCGGAAGAGCCATTTCGGAGGAGTTTATCAATATATTATACAGTTTAAGGTAAATATTTTTGAGGATGTTTTTATTTTATTTTAGTTCTCTGTTTTTTTTTTTTTATTATAAGATCATGTAAAAGAGAACCGACGAGCTCTTGAGGTATTTTCATAGAAGATTAAACGATAAGAACTTGTATGTATACGTTGTAGGTTTTTGCGAATGAACTTGAGCTGTAGAATCTGAGTACATATAAATGTTTTTTGGTATAATATAATATTTTCACAGATTCTCAATATACATAAGTATACTTGAATGGCACTGCAGCCATAGTATACCGATTCTAAAAGAATCGAATGGGCTTTCTATAGTTCCAATAATAAAATCTGAGGTACCAGGAAACACGCCAATCATAACGACCGAGTTAAAGGCAAGCAGAATTTACGAGTCTTTTCGTGTAAAACAGACTCCACCAGCTACGGTAACATTTAGTAAACATCGAAGTCTACCTCAAGAGAACGGAAAAAACCAATCACAATCTTCAAATCGAAATAGAATGGCGCGCTTGGTGTCTACTGATATTCTAAGCCGCAATATCTCTAACATTTTGGAAAACCTTCTCAAACGCTATGAACAGTCACAACTTCCTACACATGGAAAGGGGATACCTACGGTGGTGCAAACCAATATACTTATACGTAGTATGGGTCCGGTGTCAGAGCGGGATATGGAATATTCAATGGATTGCTATTTTAGACAGTATTGGCGAGATAAGCGGTTGAGTTTTGAGGGGCCAATTAAAAGTTTATCCTTGAGCATTAAGATGCTAGACAAAATCTGGCGACCAGACACTTACTTTTATAATGGAAAACATTCTCATATACACACAATTACTGTGCCAAACAAATTACTTCGACTTGGTCAAGACGGCGGAATCCTCTATTCGATGAGGTAAGTTACGTTTCAAGCGAGTATAATAATCGCTCATGTCCATGTTTCTACACTGTTTCTTTTAGATTAACCATTAAAGCCACATGTCCCATGGAGCTGAAAAATTTTCCGATGGATAGACAATCGTGTCCCCTTATATTTGGTAGCTGTTAGTATATTTTTCCAGTTCCATTTATATTATTTAATGCCCTATCCAGAATTGTAATATTTCAGATGGCTATACGAACCAACAGCTAGTTTACGAATGGAAAGATCAAGATGATGCCGTGTCATTTGTCCCCGGAATGACTCTTAACCAATTTGATCTCATTAGCATGATGCACCGCAATTTCACGTCAACACGACGAGAGGGTGACTTTTCAGTTTTACAAGTAGCATTCAACCTCAAACGTCATACCGGATACTTTCTAATCCAAGTTAGTATTTTAACGTTTATACATACTATATATATAACAATGAATACTTTAAAGGTTTATGTGCCCTGCATTTTGATCGTGGTATTGTCTTGGGTATCATTTTGGATACATCGTGAGGCCACTAGCGACCGTGTCGGTCTCTGTGTAACAGCAGTTCTAACACTATCAACCATTAGTTTGGACTCACGGACTGACTTGCCAAAAGTCAAATATGCAACTGCCCTGGACTGGTTCCTTCTGATGAGTTTTCTCTATTGCATAGCCACTTTGCTAGAATTCGCGGGTGTTCATTATTTTACTAAACTTGGCAGTGGCGAAATACCACGTCTGGAAGAGCACTTGGAAAATATCAGGAAAACTAACATAGCACATGGCATTGAAGCCAACAAAAAAGTTAGTGACGAGGATATAGAAGATAATGGTAGCGATGAGGCCAGTGAGCAAATGAACTCACAGAATGATATTTGCGTTTGTTCGGAAAATGACACTCTTGAATTCGAATCTGCAGAATCATTACCAACAGCACTAGATGACACTGCTTTTCGTAAACGGAATGCCCTCACATGTCCTATCTTTACCGTAAGTTCATATATACATACATATTTATATATCTGCTGCTGCATTCTGTTAATGAATACATCTTTCCCAAGGCCTCCTCGCGTGGAGCCACCATGGAACGAACCACGCAAACGGAACCCCCCGTCATTTCGCGTATGCGACAGATATGGCTCTGCCTCAAGAGTGACGACCAGTTCCGAAAACAGCGTGAGCGTGACGCAGCTGCAGAAAAGACTGAACAAGGTCACAACGTAAGCTATGTAAACAGCGTTTCGCTAATCGACCGCTTCGCGCGCATTGCGTTTCCGATGTCATTTGTGCTTTTTAATCTTTTATACTGGTTGGCCTACGGAATGTATAAAAAAGAGTTTTCATGGTCCACTATAAAGACATAGCTTTCTTCGACTGTAGTTGTTTTCTATAATTTTTTTGGCGTTAGGTTAAATAATGTATCTTACTGCAAATAGATGGTGGGTGCCTTATGAAAGTTGTAACATGAAATAAATTGAAATAAATTTGTATACCTTTTTTATTATGATTGAAAAACTGACGAAGGGGCACAAAAACTATTTTATTTATTTAAATATTTATTTAAATTATATTTTAATGAGTTCTAACAACCAGGCTTTTGAATCGCCAACAAAAAGATATATGATATGAAAAGATATAAAATTGTAGGCCGTCTAACCCGGGAATTGTAGTGACCAATATCGGTGCGTGGGTGAACTGTCTAGGTATAAAAACACAAGCCCGGCGATTTGATATAACTCTTTTTTATTAGCTGCGCGTCTGTCTCTCACAATCGCCATTTACAAAGTGAACTTACTCTATTATCGATGTTTCTTATCCGATATCTCACTATTGGTATTTCCCGCCGCGTGTATCGATGGTGCGGTAAATACCAATGCGCGCTGAATGCTATTTTAAATACTAGTTGAATGCCTCACTAATTATTACCTTGCTACAAAATTAAGCCCGAACTCTTTCCGATCCTTCGTTTTTTCTCCGAAACGTTTTTAAAATTCTTTATGCTTGCTACTGGAAGCAAGGATACAAATGGTTTTAATAAAAACGAGGGGGAACGATGTGAGTTGCTGTGGACACCGCAACTCTACAGTTATAACCGATACTTAGTCAGTATGGCTCTCATCCGGCAGACGCCGCTAATATCACACGACACGACAAAGAGTGCGTGCGAGAGAAAATCAGTCTGAGCGTGACGTCGGGCGCTGCGTAGCCACTGCAAATTGATTTCTTGCTTTTGGCTACAAAAATTATCCGATCAGATTCAGATTCAGCACTCTGATAGATGTGGTCATTATCTATGATTCTGCGTTTTTGGTTTTCCCGAACCTGCAATATTGTGGATGCAACAGATTTTCGTCTTTTGTGGGGGCGGAAGGGGGTGGGGCATAATTTGAGATAAATGTTATATAATGAGATCCAACAGGAGTGCGGATACCAAATTTGGTTACTCTAGCCTTAATAGTCTCTGAGATTTGTGGATGCCCCAGATTTTCGTCCTTTGCGGGGGCGGATGGGGGTGTGGCGAAATTGTGACACAAAACGGTCCGATATCACAGGAGTGCGGATACCAAATTTTGGTTGCTCTGGCTCTTATAGGTTCTGAGATCCTTGAACTTATATTTTGCAATTGGCAAAACTGACCAAGAAACCTGTGTGTTAGAGAGAGATAGAGCGAGAAAGAATGAAATTGTTTTCTTGATTCTGCCTATAATAATTATACGATCTGGTTCAGATTTTACACTCTAGAAGATATAGTCATTCTCTGCGATTCTGCAGTTTTCTCGTATCGTCGAAATTGTGGATGCCACAGATTTTCGCCCTTTGTGGGGGCGGAAGTTGGCGGGGCGAAGTTGTGAAATATTCTTGTAGCAGTGACATATTAAAGAAATCTGGATCCAAAACATCGCTGCTCTAGCTCTTATAGCCTTTGAGCACTTGGCGCCGATAGGGACGGACAGACGGACAGACAGACATGGCTCAATCAACTCGGCTATTGATGCTGATCAAGAATATATATACTTTATGGAGTCGGAAACTTTCACTACAAATCTAATATACCCCAATACTCATTTTGAGTATCGGGTATAAAAACTTCACTGCTGATTATTTTCGCTCCGCCAAATAAATACAAATTACAGCCACCCAAAGTTTTCGGTTTTTTTTTTAATTAGAAAATGTCTTCTGTACTGTGGACTGTAAATTTATTATAGGCAACAACAAAGTTACAGTGACACAAAGAAATTTCTGTGTGTGTCAACCACCAATCATTTTTCATAATATCATCGCGTTGGTCGCGCCAAACCCTAGTTTTTGTGCATAATTTGTGCTACCGCCGAGGGATGCTCTGTAATACTACAAGGAAAGTAACAGTTGGACTGAAAGATCCAAAAGTGGAATCAGAGGTATTTGTGCACAAAATTGAAAGCAGTGCAAAAGACGTCTCGATCTTTCTGTAAATTGTCTTGTGCTGAAAACATTGCACATCGCTTTCAATTCTAGGTACATACATCTATCATTTACTGCAATCACTGTCGCGTTTTCACTTTCGCTTCTTCACCGCTGCTTGCGTTGTATTTGTTGGAAGAATTTTCGTTGCCGCTCTTGAGCTTAACGGTGCGCCAAGTGACGCGCTATCCTGTATATGTAGGGTATATTATTTTTGAATTTTTTGAACAAATATTTTGTTCAAACATTTTACTTTAAAAAAATAAATAAATATAAATATAGTGGTTTGTTTCGTAAGTTCTACACAAGTATTATGGCTGAAAACAGTAAATCCATTCTTGAAGATTTAAAGATTAAGCTCAAAAGTCGAGTCGAGCAAGGGTCGATTCCTTTGCAATTACCGGAATTACATTGTAGATTATTTTGCTTGAATGCTTCAATTGAAGAGTCAAACCATTTGCAAGAGCAAATCGAGGAGATAACAGGTGATGATGCATAGGTAATGTCGCTTATCGCCGCCTTTGATGCAACAAGCGTGACGAGGCCAGTGTCTTCTTCAGCCCCAACTCCTGCTGGAATTCCGAAACTGGCATTACCAAAATTTAGCGGTAAACATTCGGAGCTAATAAATTTCATTAGCCCTTTTGAGAGACTAGTCCATAGCGACAATAGCATACCGGTGATCGAAAAATGTAATCATTTGATTTCGTGCCTCTCTGATGAAGCATTAGAAACAATAAGGGCGTTCCAAGTCTGGCCTAAAATGGGTATATGACAACGAGTAATATTTCACGAATAATATTTCCACATTGTTCAATCTGCCGTCTCTAAGAAATCTAATCGATATTGATTCGTCGATTTACGGATCGTTACTGTCGATCGGAGACAACACAAAACTTTCGAATGCAATGCTCATTCATCTTGTTTTGAACAGAGTCGACCCAGTGACGAAACAACAGTGGATTGAACAGCGCAGTTGTGAGAATTTGCCGCTTTGGTCCAACTTTGAGAACGTCTTGAATCGTCGATACCAGCATCTGTCTGCTGAAGAACCGGCGAAGCCAAGGCAGGAAAAAGTCATGCCAAGCAAGCAAAATAATATCAATTTGTTTGCTTTTTCTCCCTCTTTCACCAACAGTAGAACTCAGCAAACTTGTAGCTATTGCAATTCAGGAGACCATGTAGTGTCAAATTGCCCTCCATTTTCTCGTCTCTCGGTTATGCAAAGGTTTGAGTTTGCCAAATCGGCATCCTTAATTGTCTGCGAAAAGGCCCCGCTGTTGTAAAACGCAAAGCCAATAAATGTCGAGTGTTCAACCGCTCACATCATACATTATTTCATCGATACACAGTGTCGGCTAATAGTCTCGCGATGCCAACAATCCAAGAGAGTACTTTTCCTCCGTCAAATCAGGATCAACCGTCCACGTCAAATGTTCTGCATGCAACATCGTTGGACAGGGTAATTTTTTCTACGTCGATCGTAAGCTTCCGAACTAAGAGCTTTGAACACATTTTGGCTAGAGCTCTGCTCGACTCCGGATGTCGAAATAATATTATTACCGCTCAGGACCGCTCAGCGCTTACAGATCCGTAGAAAGGAGTCTTGTATTAACTTGCTTGGAATTAATGAATCTAATTCTCAAGTAAAGGATAAAAGACACACAGTGGAGAAGTCGCGAATAAATAGTAGTGAGTTCTCCTTTGATTTTTGGATCCTGAAATCATATTCAGGTTTTCACCCTGACTAGTCAGTGAATGTGACTGACTGGCGAATCCCAGACAACCTACCACTGGCAGATCCCTATTTCTACAAGCCACAAACCTTTCCAACTCTTTAAAAAAGCCTTCTTGGCTGAGTTGTTTCGGAAAGATATGTTTCTGCTCCCCAAATTAAAAATAGTTTGAGTTTGCAGTGAAGAGCTGCTATTGTCTATCGATAGGACCTTGCAAAAGTTTTGGTCACTGGAAGAAATTCCTTCTACCAAGAAAATTGCCACACGTCATGCCACAACCTGCTAAACAGCGGTTTTTGCCGCTTGAAAGAAGATTGTATCGTTACCCTGGGTTGAAGAAAATGTACTTGGAATTCATGGAAGTGTACCTCTCCATAGGTCATATGTCTCCTACTGACAATACTATTCCGTCTACTCCACCCTACGTTATTCCACATCAGTGTTTCGTGAGCCCTCAAGCTCCGTGTCGTGTTCGAAGCTTCGTTCAAGACGTCCTCACAGGTGGCCTTGAATGACACACCTGCACAGGCTTGCCTTGACTGCCGATGTTAAACAGATGTATCGCTAACGTTATTGTGTCCGACTTTTACATCGATGACTTATTGGCTGGTGCTGCATGCGTAAAGTAGCTAAGGGCAATAAAGTCCGAAGTGTCTCACGTTCTTCAGACCGCCGGGTTTAAGTTGACTAAGTGGTTTTTGAACTCACCCGAGATCACTGCATATGAGAGCACAGATAAACCCATAACAATCTCGGATTTAGAGTCGACAATGGCATTAGGAATCTCTTGATTACCTACTGACGATGCCTTAAGCTCAAAACATGCAATTCATTTGTGAATCTCCGAGCGACAAAACGGAACATATTATCGGTGACATCTAAGTTGTTTGACCGTCTTGGTTTGCTAAGTCCTATCGTCATAATAGGCAAGATCCTATTGCAGGAACTTTGGCTTAAAAAACTAGATTGCGATGAGTCGATTCCGTTGCATTTGGTAACAGAATGCAATATGTTAAAAAATACACTGTCTCAATTGGAAGACATATGTAAATCTCAGTTTGTGTATTCCGATCCGATGTCACCGGTTCAAATACATGAACCCTTTCGCTGTTTGCAAATCCGCCCAATTCAATACAATAAATACTTTAAGGGTTTATGTGCCCTGCATTTTGATCGTGGTATTGTAT